CAAGGGCCAAAAAGCATAGCGTTGATATTCGCTACTGACTTTTATCGTCCCGCTATTCATTCGTGACCTCTTCGGTTATCTGCTTTTCTAGATGAATCCGTTCAGCAAAAATCGAAAAAGTAGGAGCCATGCTAAAAAAAAAAAAAAAAAAGTGGGCGAAGGAAACAAAAAACGCCAAACTCGCCCAAGCCGAAGCAATTGAGCAGGCTGAGTTTTCGCGCACGCTCAGTATTAATTCCCATAGCCACCCGATTTTCGTTTGCCCTCAGGTCAGGTAAGGGCTGAAACTGACTGAGTTTTAAAATGACCCCGATTACGTACCTTTTTTGCCAATGAAAAGGTATAACTTAGGACAGCCCCCAATGAGAAACTTTTCAAAAGATTGCCCGAAGAAACTTCTGAATGTAGGCTTAAGTGGAAAAAATAGTAAGCCCATTTGTTTCGAGGTTGACTCCCAAGGACAACATATGCATTTAGGAACGTGTGAGTTCTTCAGTTTAAAGCAGCTTCATTATTTCTTTACACAAAAGTTTAATATTTAACCGCTGCGTTTACATCTTTACACACTGATATTTCTTGCATACTATTAGAATGGTTGAATTTGTTGTTTGGGGGGAGCAGAGAGTTGCATCTTTTGAAGTCATAAATTGCACTAACAGAGGTCTTTCATATATATTTCTATTTGAAATTTGGTCTAGCGGGGCACTTATTGTTAGAATTTAGACTGTTAGACTCATCTGCAGCAAGGAGAAAAGACTTAAAACATTTGCCAAAAATCGTATATTTTCTTGGATATAATAAAGTATTGGTTCTAGGGCTGGAAAAGGACTGGAGACAGTCAAGTCCTCCTTTAGACACAGTACACCAGTGTGTACAGTCCATAACCGCATCTTTCAGTGAATTGATGTGGAATAACAATCATGATAATAATATCTTGGGGTCTTCCTCATGAAGACTTCCACTGAAGTCTGTCTGTTACCCAGTGTGAGAGTTGGCAGGAAAGTATACTGACACAAAGAAGTGTTGATTACATTTTCAAACTCTGTTCTGCCTTGCCAAGGAAGCAGAATAAGGCTCTGTCTGCATAAGACATTGGGGGAAGAGTGAGATAGGGAATATTCATTCCAGCATCTGATAGAAGTTTCACTTGATAGAAGATCAGCTATCTGATCCATGAGATCCAGGGTAAGAGAGCTGGTACCAAAAGAGCTATAACTCTGCCACATTTGTACCCTCATTCTCTTGCTATTGATGACAGATGAAGCAGGGTGGCGAGAAGAAAGGGAAAGTGTTTTCTTGGGGGGTGGAGAGCACATGAATGAAAAGGAGCATCTAGGAAAAGGGCCTGAATGGCTGAACCACAGAATATGTGGGATAAGTGGGACTTACTGTATTTATTCAAAATGACATTTTGCTGTAATACAAAGTTAAATAGTCTCATTCTGTTTAGATCTAGTTGGAGATAAGCCCCAGTTTAGTCAATGAGGCATGCTTCTAGTAAATAAGAAAATATTTCAACTCTGTTTGCTTTACTATTATATGGATTATTTTGGTAATCGGGCAATGTTAGCAAATTTCAATCATAATGACATGTTTGAATAGATGGCATTATAATCTGGACACAATGTCCATAAAATGTAGCATTTGAAACTGACTCAAAGCTGCAGTGGAGCAAATGGGAATAAGACCTGCAATGGTAGTGAAAGGTAGCTCAAAACAGAGTATTTGGGGGGAAATTCTAATGGTATGGAATCATTGATACCACAATCAAGATTATTTCTAAAGATACAACATAGAATTCAATTTATTTCATTTTTTTAAAAATACAGTGTCTAAGATCATCATTCACAAGAGATACAGGTATTATATATAAACTTGTAAAAATGAATGCAAGCAATTACAATAAAATGTTTGGCTCTAAGACCTGCCAGTATAAAAGTACAGATAGTCCTCGACCTATGACTACAACTAAGTCCCAAATTTATGTTGCTAAGGAAGAGATTTGTGGGGTTTTGCCCCGTTTATGAACTTTCTTACCACAGTTAAGTGAATCACTGCAGCTGTTAAGTTAGTAATATGGTTGTTAAGTGAATGTGGCTTCCCCATTAACTTTGCTTGTCAAAAGGTCGCAAAAGGGAATCACATGATTCTGGGACACTGCAACTGTCATAAATATGACTCAGGTGCCAAAGGTTTGAGTTTTGATCACATGACTATAGGGATGCTGCAATGGTCATAAATGTGAAAATTGGTCATGTCACTTTTTTCGAAGGTCACTAAATGAACTGTTGTATGTACATGCCCACTAAATGATAAAATAGCCAACCAATAATGGTTACTATAAGTTTAAATAATTAAATAATTGATTTACTTAATGGAACACGCTATAAACAGTTGTTATTCAGTACAAATGCAATTCATTTTACAATCCATATGGTCAGTGCCAAATAAGGGTGAATGCATAATTAAGGCCGTTCAACTTAATATCTATGTTTCTTCAAAATGAATGCTAATTTATTCTGATTACCATTAAATGACCAAGATTAGAACATGTTGTTGCTCTTAACAAACTCTTTCTGCTGCACACATTAAAAGTAACAGGATTCTAAGAGAGTCTTGTGCAAAGAGGTTTTATTATGCAAATTCCATTTAAAGAATGGTAGCTGTATAAAATCATGAATTCATTTTAACAGAACTTATACAAATGAACCTATTATATTTTATAATGGCAAACAAAATAAAAATCAAGCATTGAAACATATCAATTTCAGTCCAAAATGCAATCCCATGTTTATTCAGAAATGAATCTCACCTGTGTTCTGTGAACTTCCTAGTAAAAATGTCTTGTATTTCAGAATTCAGATTTTTTTTTTGATGATTAAAATCAATTCAATTATTTGATTTGCTGTTTGGCTGGTTTATAATAAAAGTAGTTTAGACCATAACTCTACGTCTACTTATCTAAAAGTAAGTCTCATTGAACCCATTGGAAATTATTCACTATAGGAAATACATATGTATATATATATATATATATTTAAAGTGTTGCTCCTGAATTTATAAGCAGTGCTATCAGACTTGATGGTGAATAAATTTCTAAGATTTGTTATTTTAAAAAAGACACTACCAATTTCTCGACATAGCTTCCAAGCATGCTTTCAAACAATAGTTCACTATATTAATATAGAATAAAATAGAATATGTCATTATTAAAAATCTGCAATTATGCTACATTGGCAACTAATTATGAAAAAAGGTTTACCTCCTAAGTACACATACCTGGAATAAAAAGTATTAAAATCAATGTAGTTTAGTTTTGAATTGATAGTCCTAAGATTGCATCATAAATATTTCCATATGAAGCCTGAATACAAGATAGATGCAATTTTAAGTATTATTCAGATCTATATTTATACTTAAATATTGTAGTACAAAGAAGCAACAAAGAAAACTCCAAATGACATGTGGCGTTTGAGTAATTTGTTTTCAAATTAAATTGCCTATTTAGAATAAAGTTTTATTCTAAAGCATTTTTCACATGTTATTGCATAGTTTTTTCTGCATAAAATCAGAAATTAAACTGATCAACTGTGTTTTGACAGCTCACTTGGTTAAAAATGTAATTATCAAGAGGGTGGTTTGGTTTGTACAATTGGGATTGTATATATACAAGTAATAATGGAAGTTAATAGAAAAGGTCATTTTGAAATGAGAGATGTGGCAATCAGTACTGTCTTCCTTACATGTTGGACTTTAATTCTCATCAAGACAAGCAAACATTACCAATGGCACTTTACTTTGGAGAAACAGTTTTTATTATTAACAGTGTTAATAAACTGTTTATTTGTTGAATAAACATTTCCTTGCAAATCATAGACTGAATTCATATACAACTCTGAACTAGAACACTCAAACTAAAGTTGTAATGCTTATGGGGATAAGTTTGGTAACCTGAGCCCCAAAACTGAAGCTTTTTAAAACAACACAACAAAAGTTACTTGTGAGTCAAAAATGAAGAAGTATCATGATATATCATTAAACAAATGTGCTAAATAAACCTCAAAGTATGACTGAAAACAGTTATTTTACTTTGTCCACTTATTTGCTAGTTTTACATTAACTGAAACACCAATATTCCATTTTATTACTGGATATATAATACTTTTTGCAAGATATATTTAGGAAGGTACTGGGTAGCATCTTCGGTGCCTACAAAATGTTGCAGGGGCAGAAAAGTATTTGGGAGTGCTCTATGTGGGCTGCAAAGCAGTTTGAGAGGCCCTCTCGAAACCGGACTGTCATGGGCTAGCTTGGGTGTAAGCATTGTTCAGACCTCATGGTTAAAATGAGCTGTAGCTTTTAATACAGCATGTGAACACTGTGTTTTAAATCAACATTCTCCAATCACATTCCTTTGAAAGGTGTTTTAAAAGAAATAGCTTCCTTTAAGACAAATCAGACTCCAGTAACCATATGGTCAGAACTCTGAAATGCCATGCCAGCGTGAGCAATGGTAAGGTTGTCTGGGAATCAAAAATTGGAGACTTACAGATGACAAGGACACTAATCAGGGAAGCCCTATTTATTTATTGAAAGGGTGAGGGCAGCTAAAGAACAAGATAAAACTATCCCAAAAGTGTTCCAATCCCTGCATGCTTCCAGGGAACCTGCGGAATTACAGTAAAGTCACTGGGGCTTTATTTTTGAATAAACGCCATTGTTGCCCACAATACTAAGCCAAACACAGAATAGATGTTCACACTGCAATCCAGATCAAACTGCTAGTAACGTCATAGAAACAATTCGCATACTGATTTTGGCAAAATATGGAATACCTGTTTCCAGGATGTTTTTCTACTACGGTGTCTAATTTATTTCTCTGGAATCTCCTGGTAGTTTCCCATGGGTTCAACTTTTTAAAAACGGGCAAGGTTGGCTAAGCGCTGCCATCCAGCAGCAAACGGGCAGCGCTTCAAGTCGTGACGTATCTTCCTTTTCCTGTCGCCGATGGCCGCTCTGGAATAGGAAGGAAGCTGTTGTTGGTCAAGAAAATCGTCTCCGCCTTCCTGCTCAGTCTTCCCGAAAGGCTTGCGGCAAGTACTGTGGGGCGGGGCTGCAATGGCCGAGCCGCCTCCAAAGGGGCTTCGAGAGGCGCTGGAGGCTCATTTGCAGGGCCTGGGCATCCAAGCACTCAGCGTGGAACACCCCGAAGTGAGTGAAGAAGCCGCAAAATGAAGCGTTCTGGGGAGGAGGGCTGGAAACGGCCAATGGAGAAGCCGGTGTGCAGGGAAAGGCGGCTGGGACGTGGCTGATCCATCTTTTTTTTTTATCACTTCCTTTTTCCAAAAATGGAGAGTAGCTTACTACCAAGTCGATGCACGTGAAACGAGTCGGCCTGAGTTAATGGAATTTATTTCTCTGAAATTTGCAGGCTTGTTAGTTGTATCCGCACGCTAGACAGAGAGGTATTACTAGATGGCAGTGAAGTGATAACAAAACACATCCGACTTTTATGTCCGGGTACAGAAGACCTGCATAACACGTTAAATTATAAGCCATGTTAACATGCTGCCATATCTATGTCACTGATAATGTCCTAGACGAGTACAATACACATGACTTAAGCTGTTACAAGCTACACACGAAGACATAATATGGCTTGTTTGAGGTTGATAAGCCCTATGAAAGGTTAGCCTTACTGAGGGATTTTAGCAATGTCAACTGATTGTCCAAATCAGTCAAATATATCCTTTTCTGATGTTCTTCAGTATAAACATTTGTTAATGTTATACTAATTAAAACAAATGGAATAAATTTAAAGTGCTAAGAAAAACATTATTTTGGATTATGCTGAGAGGCTTCTTGATTTCCTTTGAATGGCTGCAATCTATATCATGTTAAACAATGTGAAAGATGTGGGATATTAACCTGAGCAGGGGAAAGGATTTTAACTTTTTAAAAAACATTTAGGTATGTAAGCCAATCTAATTAATCCTGTTGAATCACCTTTGTTCACCCTTGTTTACTGCCAAATTTCAGTAATATAATTTTTGGCACTGAAAATATGGGTTCAAGAACGTATTTTCTTATTTTGGACTATATGATTAGAATTTATGTGGATTGCTGAAGTAGTATCAAATTGAAATGTGCAGGATTGTTGCATTGATCTTGTTTATTTCAGTGGCCTTTATAAAGAGGAAATGCTGCAAGTGTAGTTCAAATGCAGTTTTTTAATAGTTCAAGGAAGTCACACTTCCTTTCTCTCTTCTAGGTCTTCACAGTGGAAGAAATGATGCCTTATGTACAACACTTAAATGGAGCTCACAGCAAAAACCTTTTCCTTAAAGATAAGAAGAAAAAAAGCTTTTGGCTGGTGACAGTTCTGCATGATCGACAAATCAATTTAAATGATTTGGCAAAGAAACTGGGTGTTGGAAGTGGGAACCTGCGCTTTGCTGATGAAGCAGCCATGTTGGACAAACTGAAAGTTGGCCAAGGATGTGCAACCCCCTTAGCTCTTTTCTGTGATCAGGGAAATGTGAACTTTGTTTTGGATGCTGGATTTCTGCAAGGAGGTCATGATAGGATTTATTTTCACCCAATGACCAATGCAGCAACTATGGGCCTGCACCCAGATGACTTCCTAAAATTTCTGAAGTCTACAGCACATGAACCCATAATTGTGCATTTTGATGAAAGCCACAAATAAGCTTTTTAACCCAAGAGTAACTGGGTGGGAACTTTCATTAACACGCACGATATCCTACATTCACAAAGATTTTCTAGGATGGAAATCATCATTGGAAAATCACAGAGGAAGATCTCCACTCCTTTCAGTACATTTAGTGCTGAGATTTATGCTCACTCATTCATGATTTATAAGATTAGTAAAATGCGCTCTTTGTATGCTTTGCTGCTTCAGTCTTGTTTCCTTTTAGATTTTTTAAATTTAAATTGTAGTTTTAATGTATTTATTGCGTACGCCATTCAGAATCACTATGTGAGATAGGTAGCTATAATAAATATGATAAAATAAATAAACTCGGCACTCTTTCCTAAGAGAGAAATTATCCCAGCTCTGATCATGTGTAGTGTTGTTCCACCTACTTTGTGTCATCACTCACTGTGGTATTCACAGGTGGTATTCAGCAGGTTCTGACCAGTTTTGGAGAACCAGTAGCAGAAATTTTGAGTAGTTAGGAGAACTGGCAAATACCACCTGACTGGCCCCACCCCCATCTATTCTCTGCCTCCCAAGTCCCAGCTGATTGGCTGGGTTCTTTTGTTGCCTTGCACAGAACGGAGCTGGAAAGCAGGTTAGTGGGGTGGGAAGGGAATAGGGATTTTGCAGTAACCTTCCCCCTGGAGAATGGTGATTTTACAGTATCCTTCCCCTAGAGCTGTGATGGCGAACCTATGGCATTTGTGCTGGCATGTGAGCTGCAAACTTCCCTCACTGCGCATGTGCGTACCTCACAGCTGATTTTCGGCCTCCCAAAGGCTTGAGGAAGGCTTCTGCAGGCTTCTACAAGCTTTGTAGGCCGAAATCTCTGTCACTTCCAGTATTTTCGGAAAAACAGGAAGTGATGAAATGGGGCTAAATTTCAGCCTACAAAGCTCGTAAAAGCCTGCAGAAGCCTTCCTCAAGCCTTTGGGAGGCCAAAAAAAGGCCTCAAACCAGCCGAAAATCAGCTGTAAGGCGCAGTGCAGGTAAGGGGGTGGGTGGGTGGGGATTGCGGACACATGCGTAGGGGACGGGGGGCACACATTGCCTTCTGGGTGCTGGTGCGCGAGTGTGAGTGTGCAAGTGCACATACAACTTTTTGGTACAGGAACCCAAAAAGATTAGCCACCACTGCCCTAGAGTGGGGTGGCAATGAAGATTTTACAGTATCCTTCCCCTGCCACACCCACCGAGCAGGAAGTAAAAAATGTTGAATCCCATCACTGCTCTATAATCCGTCCAAAAGTATAAAGGGCAGTTCTTAAAGGCTTCTATAAGTATACCAAAGTTATAATAAGTCTTTCTCCAATATAAAGTTTAGGAAAACTCATTAAAGTGCAAAGTATGCAATGTGATCACCTGAAGGGCCAAACAAAGTTCTTTCAAAATAAGAGAAAGTCGACAGTTACTTTGTTTCAAATTTTAATAACATAAGTAGTGTACAATGGCAAACATTACAAAACTCCTTAATAGGTATAAGAAAGGAAGTTACAACTTTAAATAAAAGTTTCTGAATAACAGTGTTTATTTTGTGTCACAGCCACATGCTGTTTTTTTCCTTTTAAGGCAGTTCCATTCTGAACAATGTTTGAGTTATACACAATGCAATAGAGTTTGCAGAGAACTTATATTGGCCCCATGTTGGAGCTGTGCCATCTCTCAAAATACAAGAATTTTAAGAAAGAATGCATTATAGAAAGAATGATTGTAGCTTTAGCAATCAGCAGCAACAGAGTGGGAATATTTTCATTGTATTACAGCAAATTTGCAACTTTTATTTTGTAGCTGCTTAAATACTGTTGCATATAAAGAAAAAAGCCCTTGCATTTAGTTCTAAAGGTGGTGGATTTCAAAGTGACACATTGACACTGCTACAGATTTATATTTTTTAAAAAATATTTTTTATGAACCATATTAATGAAAATTGGGACAAAGAACTATGACATACATTTTAGTTTCTTTAGATTAAAAATCTGTGAAATCGAGAGAGATAAGGAAAGCCAGTTATATTCAAATGTATTTTGGAAAGGAAAGCTATAAACAAACAAGGCTTTGGTTTTCCTGAAGAATACCTGTATCAAGATTCATTTCTCTTAAGTTATCAGCAGAAAATCATCTGGCTTTTCACAAAATACATTTTTAAAGAGAACTATGGAGACAAATTACATATAGTTTACAAATCTCAAACTCCCTTTCCAGAAATATCAGTGTTAGGCTTCATTAAAACAAGATGATAGTTCATTTTATTTGTGGATTAAGCCTAAATGTACATATGTAACTTTGCAACACTAAACCAAACCTACTGCCAAAATTGGATCATTAAAAAAGGCATAATCTATTAATAATTAATTTTTCCCAGGCAATATTATGCTCTTGGTCATCTTCATACCAGAAGCATCACTTGTACTACTTAAAACTGTATGTAGAAAAAGTTTGTACCTAAATCCAAATACAAAACAGTGTATGAATCACATACAAAACTGAAAAATCAAGAAAAATAGATACAATAAAAAATAAGTGCTGGAAAAACAGGTGATTGTTTCCCAAAACTGCAAACATTTTGAAGGTAATTAATACAAAACAGTAGTTTATTTGAAAAATATTCAGACGTACAAGATTAGAATCATGTTGAGTTTTCAGGTTCCCATATTTCCATATCTGCAGGTAACAATAGTGGTTGCCCAAGACGGCATAGAACAACTGAAGAGGCCCTTCATTACTGTGTTCTTTATAAAAAGGCTTGCATACAAATCTTTCAGTGCCACACAGCTCATCCAACCTAACCTGATTTAGTACAACTACTTTGGTATTTTCATGGAACTATTTTTGAAAATTGTTCAGTGCTTATTAGATATATCTCTTCCACTAAATTTTTGATTGTTAATTAATTTTAGCATTAATATGAATTTCTTTTAAGTTTTGTATTTTTTTTAATGTTAGCTGTCTTAACTTTCTTGGGAAGGCCGAGTATAAATCAAATATATAACAAACAGTAATAATGATAGTCAGTTTGAGGATTTCTGGATAGACATTTCATCAATAAATAAAAATGAAAAGTATCTCTCATTGTTGTGCAGTGTAAAACAGCTACTGCAAATAATAATGTGATTTGGCTCTTGGCCATTTCAAACTATTCACATTAAGTATAATGCCATTCTTACCTAAATAGACAATGCTATCTGGGAAGCTTAACTTTAGGATTTATTTATTCAAATTACATTTTTCCAATAGGTTGAAATTGTATGAACTGTATGAAAGACTTCCTGCCCTATAGTTCTATTTTCATATTTCATTTTCTGAGAAATGAAGGTGATCATAAGTTCTTTCTACACTGGCTACTATGTTCATCCTTCTATACTTGTTTATTAATTTTCAGATTGTTCAGTTTACCCAATACTTTGCACTTGTAAGATCAATTTCAGTGATTTTATTTTTTGTCATTGAAGATCTTTTAGTATACTAAAATTATTATACAATTATTTTTCTCTCCATACACTCATACTGGATTCACATTTAATACTAAAACAAGAAAAGTTGTGTATTTATAGATATTAACTAACTTGGGTGATAAGATGCTGCCTTAGGTTACATTGTACAGTACAGTTTGTTGTGAAATTTTCATGTGTCTAAGGTACCAGCAAGTTTTTTCCCACATTAAAATTGGGGAGAGTCTATCATTCACCATAAATTTTATGGCTGCAATTGTGCAACATACTAACCCATTTTATGGAATTTCTCCAGTTGTTCAGGTAATGCACTATCAATGCATTAATATACTATTGCTGTATGTATGTGTAAATACAGAATCTATACCTTTGTGGGTTGTATAAACCCCAATCTTTTATTTTTTTTCTGTTAAATCCTGATTAGTAATTGATTATGGCTTAATTTGTTACATTGATCAGGAATAAATCTACCCAGGCACGGCTGTTTGAAGATTATACATTGTATTGCTCCAAAACCAGGACATCTAGTTGTTCTCCTTAGCTGACCCCTGTTGCTCTGTAGGCTGCTTTTCATTTGGCACAGAAAAGGGCAGGATTTATTTTTATCTAATAGAAATAACATTGATTGTCAGCAAAATCCCGGTGAGTATAAAAAAATATACAATGTATAGGCAATAGATCTGATTGAAACAAGATGTGGCAACTCTACTTGTGACTAATTTGGCGAGATACAAATAATGAGATTAAAGATACACATATATTAAGATTAAATAAATCATTTAAGGTTAAATATGATACATATGGAAATATTAATAATTTAGTGGCTTGTAAGAAAATAAACTTTGAAATTTAATAGAAACCAGAAACCCTTGTACATCTGCAAAGATTAACCAAATCTAATTTCCTGTTCTGTTCACATATAAATATTAAGAAAGTATCAACTATTTTAATCAGCCTTAATGCATATTATAAGAAACAAAATCATAACAGTCATTTAAACAGCTTGAAAAATGTTTGATGGATTTTTCCTATAAACACTTTTTAAGCCATTTATCTCAAAAATACCAAATTAAAAATATAGATTAAATATGTAAAATGAGACAATTTATTTTGGATGGTTTCTCTTGAAAACAAAATCAATTTCATCCAACAAAACTTCAGAAACAGTTTTTAGCATCTTTTTGTCCCCTCAAAATGAGTATATTTTTTGTGACACAAAGTATATGAAAAAGATTAATTAATCTGAGGGTCTATTAAGTATTCAATTATGTTTTAAAGTACCTATTCTTCTTGCCTTATACATCAAAATAATCAGCAGGTTTGTTTTCCTAAGAGTAACATCATGCACACCAATAAGACTGAAGTGACAAGATGCTTGAGGAGGTATTTTTCCTACCTGTATTTACAACAATTTCCACAATTTACAACAGTCTTTTTTTATTTCAGATTTACAGAACTAAATGCTAGCAGAGCGGAAGTAGTAAGCAACTGGTGACCATGTTCATAAAGGAACTAGAACACAGTAATTGTGTTGCTGAAGTAGTTCTTCAGACTGCACAAACCTTG